ATTAGTTATCTATAAAATATTGGGTTCTTATCCTATTTTCTTATTTTTATAAACATAAGTGATGCAGATGATGTTTTATTTTTCCTAGTGCAAAAATAAAATCTGTGACAATGCATAACTATACAACGAGTGTCAGAAGTTGGTAGAAAGTAAAATTGTTTGAACAACAGCAACAACAAAACTAAATTATTCAGAAAATGAATCAACACTGCAAAAGAGCAACTATTTTTTCAGAAAGAGGTTTAGCTTTAATGTAGATTATTCTTTGATTACCTTGAGTCATTAAATTGAAAGCTACTAGGGTATGGACTGTATCTTATTCATCTTTCATCATCCAAACTGAATAGAATAGACTTTTACACATAATATTATCTCCACCAATATCTGCTAAATTTAATGTGAGACTTACAGTGAAAAATTGTTCATAAACACACACACACACACATATACATACACACACACCACATTCTACATACCCTCATTACAATACGAAATTTCTTTTTCTAAAAAATATTTTGTATATAATCCTTATTGATGTAGTTGATGAAACTCTATATACAAAACACTGGAATGTCAAATATTGTATAAAAAGTATAGAACAGGTTAAAAAAAAAAGCCCTGTTTTCTTTCTTAGCTCACAGTGCTAGTAAGCTCACCCTTATAGTGCTAGCATAGGAATCATTATGGTACAATTTCATTAGAGCCGTATGACAATATCCTTCTTCTTTATTTCAGATAAAACACAAAGGATATAGGCATTATTATTAGAGAAAGGACACAGAATTTAGCTGTAATACTTTGAGAGTTGTTTCTTCTTCCCTTAAAGGGAAGAGGAAGACAGAAGGGGCTTTATCTGCTTCCTTCAGAAGCCCTGAATCATGTATAAGATGCGGTGGTGACTTTAAACACGGAGCAGTTTGTGTTAGTGATTTACAGAAGTACTATTTTATTTTATTTCTAGCACAAAATGTAAGTGTCTGAATGCTTTAGGTAGGCACAAAAGGGAACATGAAGGATGTCTGAGATCATCAAGCCCAACAGGAAGATTAGAGCGAGAAAACGGAGAAGCACTAATAACTGCCACACTGGAATTCCCAGGCTGATCAAAGGGGCCAGTGAGTATCACAGGTAGGACCTGAGGGGAAGTAACTTCTGAAGATTTCTCATGCCTTAGAGTCAGCAGAACAACTGTCTGAGAGCTGCATCACATGCAGAGGAGATTTGGTGGGGGAAACACACAATACATGTGCCCAGATAGAGTAGTCATCAACAGCTTTGTCTATCTGACAGATATATAAGTTGTCCCTTGGTACCCAAGGAGGATTGGATCCAAAACCCCAGAAGATACCAAAATCAGAGATGCTCAATTTTCTTATATAAAATGGCATAGTGTTTGCAAATAACCTAAGCACATCATCCCCTATACTTTAAATTATCTCTAGATTAATTATAATACTTCATGCAATATAAATTCTATGTAAATAGCTTAGACTATGTTTTAAAATTTTTAATACTTTTGTCATTGCACTTTTTTTTTCAAATATTTTTGATCTGGGGTTGATTGAATCTGCGGACACAGATCACACAGATACTGAGGACCAACAATATATTATTTTCTGTAGATGAAGATTCAGCAAAGATTTACAGGAAAGGAACTTCTGGGATTCCTTTATGTGGCCTCTTTCTCTGTAACAGGCACATCCCAGATCTAGATCCCATGAATTCCCCGAAAGAAAGAAAGACACAGAGGCCACCCAGCCCTACCAAGACTTCCACTAATGGCCTTTCTACAGTTGCAAGGAAGATGGGGGTGGAGGATAATAATATCTGAACTTGGCTGAATATTTCTTCCAAATGAAACTGAGATTTTAAGTAGTCTAAAAGCACTAGACTATGCTAAACATATTGAAAGGGCATGTTGATTGGCAACTTTAATTATCCATTTCCTATTCCCAATTACTAACTTCTAAAGGTTGATGAGTGCTTCATAAAACTGGTAGTAGTTACTGAAATAAAACTATTCCATGTTTGTAGATTGCTGAATTGAGACTATAAATTAAAATTGCTACATATATAACAGAATTAGAAGACATTTTGGAAAGAACATTTAGTCCACAAATGTTTCTATATGAGAAGAGTAAAAAGATGAGAGCTACTTGACTGGGAGTGAATATATAAGCTAAAATTAATTTATCATTAAGTCCTGATATCACAAAAGTCAGGGATATCCCTTAAAGTTAAGAAAATCTTTGGAGAAGAAACCTTTTTTTACTTCCAAAATAGAATTCACCTGCTTAATTCATAAATAATTTAAAAAGAGGATCAATAAATTAAGAGTCAGCACGTCAATAATGAATTAAAAAGTGAAAGTAATATGGAATTTTTTTTTTTTTTTTTTTTTGAGAGGGAATCTTGCTCTGTCACCCAGGCTAGAGTGCAGTGGCACAATCTCTACTCACTGCAAGCTCTGCCTCCCGGGTTCATGCCATTCTCCTGCCTCAGCCTCCCAAGTAGCTGGGACTACAGGAGCCCGCCACCGCGCCCGGCTAATTTTTGTATTTTTAGTAGAGACGGGGTTTGACTGTGTTAGCCAGGATGGTCTCGATCTCCTGACCTCGTGATCCGCCCATTTTGGCCTCCCAAAGTGCTGGGATTACAGGCGTGAGCCACCACGCCTGGCCAGTAATATGTTTAAGAAATTAACCTATCCTTTAACATTGACACAAATTATCCCTTGATTTCGCTATGAAAGAAGGAAAATAATAGATTATATGGATTATGGATATGACCCAGCATGACAGTTTTTTCCTTCTTAGCAAATGGCCTAACCTCTACTCATACTCTTATAAAAGCTGTATTATTATTATTTTTTTCCTTAAATAGAGCACAACTCAAATCATTCTTTGGCTTGCAATGTGTCTATAGGAGGAATAAACCCATATGTCATTATAATTGTATAGATTGGATTTGTACTTTTGTTATGGAGCACAACCACAGTCATACTACAACTCCATTCTGTGTCAAAGAGAGTTGTCTCAAAAATACAGGAAACAAAATATCAGAAAAAAATCCAGTATATTCAGACAACTGTGTAAGCAATGAAATGCAATTGGTTTTATACAAAATTCCATCTTATTTGCAAGGAGAGAAATATATTTACATGTTTTCAAAAACACTTGTTTAATATTTAATTGGCAACATATAGAATCACATGTTGTTTTGTTGTTGTTGTTATTTTGAGACAGAGTCTCACTATATCACCCAGGCTGGAGTGCAGTGGCACAATCTTGGCTCACTGCAGCTTCGTCTCCCGGGCTCAAGCGATCCTCCCAACCCTCAGCCTCCTGAGTAGCTGGGATCACAGGCGCACACCATCATGCCTGGCTAATTTTTGTATTTTTTGTAGAGATGGAGTTTCACCATGTTGCCCGGGCTACAATTTTTCAGAGTTATATTCCTATGAAGAGCTACTTGAATGTAGAATTATTTTGTATTTCAACAGTGCCTCTACATATTTCTTTAGCAATATGATTGGTTTTAGTACTGGAACCCTTCACAGACTTTGCCAGTAACCTAATTTGTAATATATGTTTTGAGTAAGGATGGCGTATTATTAGTTCTCAAACATTAGCATGAATCAGAAGTCACCTCAAAGGCTCATTAAAACAGAGACTCAGGGAGAGTTTAGTAGATTCACAGCTGGGCCTGAGGATTTGCATTGCTGACAGGTTTCCTGGTGATGCTGATGCTGCTGAACTGGGGACCACATATACTTTTCAAGAATTAATACAAAAAATATAATTTGGAAAAAAGTCTCAGAATTTTTATCAGTAGCTTGATAAAAATTATAGTTTGTTAAAAAAATCATTAATATCCAAGTTACAATAAACTCTTTTTCATTAATTACTAAAGAAAAATAGTTTTACTTACATTATTAACTTTTCAGGTCATTAAAAAATTTAATACTGAAAGTATGTGGCTGCCAAAGAATCTCCATGTACTTAAGTTCATTTTGGCCAAAAATAATATTTGATTTGAAATAAAATATATAAATCATAATATAAAATCTGCAAGTGATATTTTTTAACTATCCACACATGGGCATGCATATGCCACTGTAATATTTTGATACCACATTCATTAGGTTATGAATAAACGCTCTGCCACCTGACATATTTCAACTAAACAACAGAATATAAATCAGTGAGCAAATTGTTCATGATTAAACAACAAGTAGTAACAAGTAGATTTTGATTATAGCTTTTGGTTAAAATATAATTTTCCTACTTTATTAAAACTTCACTTATCATTGTGAATATCTCAACATATTTATACTATTTATAGATGAATTCCAAATACATTCCCAGCTCTCTGATTTTGGACTGCTCAAATGTTTTGTGCTTAATACAATGGGGAAAAGAAATGTAGAATTGAACAACAGCCCCCTCCAAGACAAATTCCAAACGTGTAAAACACATTTTTAAAGGCTTGGGTCCTTAACTTTTTTGCACAAAATACTGCAATACATATATTTAATAAGTTAGTTCCCTCATTCACATTGACTTAATATTACCTTGTATAACTGGTGTTATATCTGATGTTCTCCCACATGCGTGTCCAATGTCTGATGTTGCTTGTAAATGGAGACTTAAATCTTTAGTCAAGTCTTTTATATGGTTAAGAATTATACAAAATTTTTATCAGACTAATTAAAATGTGTAATTATAAGGTCCATATTTTTATTATTTGGCATTTTCTAGTGGCAATGCAATTAATGTCTTAGAATGAACAGCAGGACACATTCAAGAAGGCAATCAAGAGAATGATGCAGGTGTTGGCCATGCCACCTTGGCAATCAGTCTTTGAAATCAGATAATTTCAAAATCACTCTCATATCCCCACCCCTGCTTCTTTAGTCCAGTGACCTCTATGTCTGACCTATTCTAAAGATTTATAATCAAGAAGCCATTATTGTTGTCTTCTCTAACTCACATACTTACAATCAGGAGGCATCTTTTCCATAAATATCTTGTAATATTCTTGTAGAAGTTCAAAGTTTTCCTGATTAATACTTTCTTGCAAAGAGACATCTCCAAACCTACAAATAGAAGAAAGAAAACAGTTATAAGTTATAAAATAGCACCAAAAAGTAACACGTTTTACCTTTCCTTTTTAAATGGATTGGAATAATTTCCTAAGGAAAGAGTCTGTCTCATTTTTCAGGCTACAATGCACAATGGTGATTTCAAACATATTCCAATCTCCACTGGCCCTGATTTTACTAATCACTTCTAATGCATCAAATATCCTCACAACCATCAAATGTGAATTTGGAGGAAATACCATGTATGAAACACCAGTCTTTGTGCATGGACATAATTGATAATATTAGTTTCCCCATCCTACTCCACACCTCCGCTGCAGGGCTGTATCTCTGTATGTGTTTTAAAAAACCTTCTTTCTTATTATCTATCCAACCTTCCATTTCACTCATGGCTGCTTAGGGAGGGGTCCAGAAGACCAGCACTGGACACTGGGCTGCACACAGTCTTGCCCACACTATCAACTGCTATAGGCACACGTAGAGCCAGATTTCCCAGACAGTAGATCATTTCTGCTGACATTTTTTTCTGTTCATACCGAGAAGTCAAATGGTTCTGTCCACATAGTCTTCTTCAAACTGTAACGTAATGTTTGTTGACTTCTCTTCCTCACAGGATTATACATTATTTCAGGATAGGAAGCAGATTCCATGCTTCTTGTTATCCTCTATTCCCCTTATATCCCACAGCTTGGCAGAGCATATGGTATTTTAAAAATACCATACTGGCTTAATATTAGTGTTATGGAGTAAATGCTTGTGTTGTCCTAAAATTCATATGTGGAAACCCTATCCCCAAAATGGCAGTATTTAGAGATATGGCCCCTAAGGGGTCAAGTTAAATGAGATTATGAGGGTGGGCTCTCTCTGTTCACAGGCACAAAGAAGAGGTTGTGTGAGCACACGGGGAGAATGTGGTCAGTCATTTGATAGCCAGAAGAAGAGCCCTCATCAGAAACCAAATTGGCTGGAACCTTGACCTTGGACTTCCTAACTTCCTGAACTATGAGAAACAAAATTCCATTGTTTAAGCCACCCAGTCTATGGTATTTTGTTACAGCAGCCCTAGCAGGCTAATAGTATTTATTTATCTAAGAATGGTCATATACAAGATCTACATTTTGATTTTGAGTAAACAGTAGTAAAATATTACTTCTAGATTACATAGCACATCTAACATGTAGATGTTGCTGGTAAAGCTCAAAATTCAGAATCAGAAAAAGGAGGTTCAGAGAACAGAGAGTAAGCAATATGCCCAGATTAACAGTTGGTTGATGTCAGAGTGCTATTCATATTCAGGCCTCCTTCTCACAGGGTTTCCCTACTTTGCCATTTTGCCTTCTTTTCCAGTCTTGTGTGTCTTGTACGGCTTCCGTGTGTGAAAAAAGTGCATTCTTAGTATGAAAGAGAGATGAGAGGGAAGGAAAGGACACTTCTTAAATAAAATGACTGACAACTAAAACAGTCACAATGACAAGAATGATGCAAATTAGTCCATTTTAGAAGCCTTGAAAATATAATGCTGACTAGTCTTTGAAAAGTCTGTGAATAAAAGAGTCTCATATCTCTCTCAAGATCGCAATAACAGACCTTGTTAATTCCAACTCAAAACACTCTACTCTAGTGTACCAAAGAAGAGGCAATTTGGAGTGCTGTTTTCCTGCTCCACGTTGTATAGTTTATGATCCGGAATATCATTCATTTCAAACACTGAATTTGCTAAGACAAATATGTATAGATAAATAGAATATAATCTGATCCTAGACACTAGCCTTCAAAAGTGCTTAATTACCAAAGCAAGGAATGTGCTAGGTACTTTTAACCTTACCTGTGGGGCAGGGGTCACTTGGAGAGTGAATTATAGACAAGAAAGCATGTTAAATATTATACTACCAAAGACTATCAAACTCTCCAAATTGTTGCCTGTGAAGGAACTTCTCCAGCCAGCCCCCACAGCGAAGATGATAACTTCTTTCTCTAAAATATTTCAAAAGTATGCTCTATGATCTTTTTTTGTTAATTTTTTGAGACAGAGTTTCACTTGTGTCACCCAGGCCAGAGTGCAATGGTGCAATCTCGGCTCACCTCAACCTCCGCCTCCCCAGTTCAAGCGATTGTTCTGTTTCAGCCTCGCAAATAGCTGAGATTACAGGCGCCCGCCACCACGCCCAGCTAATTTTTGTATTTTCAGTAGAGACAAGGCTTTACCATGTTGGCCAGGATGATCTTGAACTCCTGACCTCAGGTGATCCACCTGCCTCTGCCTCCCAACATGCTGGGATTACAGGAATGAGCCACCGCGTCCAGCCGAAAAAAGTGATTTTTAACAGTGACTCATGGGATCACAGTACAATCATTTGTTGACTGAGCAAGTCGTTATTTAAAAAAGTTAACATTACCAGATAATAACCATTACAATAAACACAAAAAAGAGAAAGACTCTGTTTTAGATTTAAAAAATTTGAGCCGGGCGCGGTGGCTCAAGCCTGTAATCCCAGCACTTTGGGAGGCCGAGACGGGCGGATCACGAGGTCAGGAGATCGAGACCATCCTGGCTAACACGGCGAAACCCCGTCTCTACCAAAAAATACAAAATATTAGCCGGGCGAGGTGGCGGCGCCTGTAGTCCCAGCTACTCGGAGGCTGAGGCAGGAGAATGGCGTAAACCCGGGAGGCGGAGCTTGCAGTGAGCTGAGATCCGGCCACTGCACCCCAGCCTGGGCGACAGAGCGAGACTCCGTCTCAAAACAAAACAAAACAAAAAACACAAAAATTTGATGCTATTATCTGTTTACAATATTGAGATATATATAAACATGAATTCTAAACTTTAATACACACATAGGTATTTGGAAATAAAGAAGGTTAATCCATTTGAATGCTTTATTTAGTACTGGCATCAAGATTTTCCTCAATGTTTTTGCCACATTTAAATTTGACTTGGGCCAGGATTCCTTAAATATGAAAATTTACCTTCTATCTCAAATAATTTGGTACTGATAAAAAGAAAAATGTTATGCATAAATCGATGTTAGTTCTATATGCAGATACGTGGGACTTATCATCATATGCTTAAGAGGAACAAAGAAAAATCTCAAGTGCCACTCTTACACCAAAGCTTACCTCTCAGCCAGAGTTTGCTGTTCATTGATTCCAACGTTAAAAAGTACTGGATACACATGAAGCAACTGTCCTTCTTTAATCTGTAGAGGTAGCGACTCAAACATTCTGGCTGGAAGCTTGACCTCTACCACATAATGTTCTCTAAAGAAGGCAGAGGACAAAGGGAAGAAACATTACTTACTTGTTTTGTGTTATTTTAGATTTATTGGAAGAAAACAATAAAAGGGTTGGGATATAGCACTGATTTAGTTTTCTGTTTGCTATATGCTTATTTTCCTCATTCATTCATCTCCTTATTAAATTACTTGACATAAAAAAGTTTGTAAGGATTCATTTACATGTGTGATTTCTCTACCTCACTCTGAATTCCTTAGGAAAGAAATGTTTAGTCCATTTTTGTATACCCAGGGTCATGTGCATTGATAGCCTCATTTTGTTTTCTTATTTTTAAAACTCACTCAGTCCTAAGAATAAGAACACTAATCTAATGACTGCTGTTTCAATACAGTGAAGCTAAATAAACCAAATAATTTATATAGTGTTTTGGTATGGCCTGTTTGTTATCACTATTGATGAGTGTTTCTGTTTATGATGGGCTGATGGAAAGGTAATGCTTTTATTGCTTAGAGTGAAACTTTTGGGAATTCTGGTCATTTTGAAACATTAACATATCACAGCAGCATTTTTCATTGGAAATGTCCATTAAAAACTACCCCCTTTTTAATGTTGAAAATTTAAGTTAGGATTGATACAATATGATTAATAAGAGTAGCTACTTACATATTTTAAAAATTGTCATCTTCCAATACAGTGTGAATTGAATATAGAAATTTAGAAAGTTTTGCCCAGAGGTTGAGAAAATCCATGTGTTTCAAGAACTATACAGAGGGGTGGGATTGTAAGATACACATTGGGGAAATAAGCATAGGACAAATAGTGAGCCTCTTTGTGAAACTCTTTTTAATTTCTCCTAGTGTAACATTATTGATAAACAGTATGGACCACTGACTCTGAGACTTGTTTTTTTCTAGCTATGAAACAGAGACCTGGTAAATATCATGAATTTAGCAAGCATGGATGTTAGCATTACCTTCAGATGAATGAGCGCATTATTTTTCTTTGTTTAATTGCTCTCAATGCCATTTACAATAGCCTGGCTAACAGTCTTTCAGGAATATGAGAAGCATCAATGAGTCAGTTCATGATTTAAACTTGCTCTGAAGGTGAAACATATAATTTCTTTGTGATAATTTTACCAGGTTTATTAAGAAATTTATATGAACTAATGTATTTTACGTATATAATTAATAATTTTAGCAAATTTATAAAATTACACAATCATCACAATAATCCAGGTTTAGTTCATTTCCATCAACTTAAAACAATTCCTCGTGCCCATTTACACTTAACTCTACTACCATCAGCAGCCCAGAAAGCCATTCATCTATTTTCTCTCTATTTCCTATGAATGAATTTTATTTTTCTGCACATATCCTATGAATTGATTCATACAGCATGGAATATTTTCTATCTGGCCTTTTTCACCTAGTATAATGTTTTTGAAGTCATCCATGTTGTGGTATCAGAAGCTCGTTCCTTTTTATTAGTGAATAGGATTCTATTGTATCGATATCACATTTTGTTGACACATTTATCAGTTGATGGACACTTGGATTACTCCATGATTTGGGATATTATTAATAATGCTGCTATGAACATGCAGGAATGAACCGTGGTGTGGAAGTATGTTTCATTTTCTCTTGGGTGTATGTCTAAGAGTCATATGATAATTTTGTATTTAACTTTTTAAGACTGTCAAACTGTTTTCAAAGTGACATTTCCACCAGCAATGTACAAGGGTTCCAGGTTTTCCACATCCTCACCAACATTTGCTCTTATCTGATGATTCTAGTGTAAGTGGATTGGTATCTTTGATTTTAAATTTATTCTCCTAGTGATGAATTATGTTGAATATGTTTTCTTGAACTTATAAATCATTCATATATCCTATTTGGTGAAATGACTATTCAAACTTTTTGCCCATATTTAAATTTGTTTTTTGGTGTCATTATTATTGAGTTGTAACATTTATTTACATATTCTGAATATGAGTCCTTTTTCAAAAATATGATTTGTAAATACTGTCTTCTAATCTGTGGCTTGTCTTTTTACTTACTTAATGGTGTTTTTTTTTTTTTTTTTGCAGTCCTATTTATCTATTTTCTTCTTTTATGGGTCTTGATCTGTTTATGTCTAAGAACTCATTACCTAAACCAACTTAACAAATACTTCCTTTCTGAGTTTTCTTTAGAAGTTTCACACAGTTTTAGCTATACATTTAGACTGATAATCTATAGTGAGCTAATTTTTGCATATGTGTAAATTTGTTCTCTCTTCCATATAGATAAACCATTTGTCTCAGCATACATTTTGAAAAGATTTCCATTCTCCATTGAATTAACCTGGCAGCTTTGCTAGAAATCCACTTTGACTTAGGAATAATGTTTATTTCTGGAGAGTAAATTTTGTTCAATTACACTGTATATACTTATGCTAATACTACATTGTCTTGAATATTCATAGTTTTGAGTCATTGTGACGTTCGAAGTAATAACTTTTCTACCTTTGTTTTTTCTTACAAAATTTTCTCTTACAACAATTCTGGTCCTTGCATAGCACTATACTTTTAGGTAGT